GGGAGCCCGATGTGGGACTCGATCCCAGGACCCTGGGATCATGACCTGAGCCGAAGGCAGTCGCTTAACCAACTGAGCCACCCAGGCGCCCCTACCTGTATAATTTCTAATACATCATTGCTACCTATAAGGATTACTGTCTTCTTTGTACATTTGGCGGAACTGAGACTCAATGGTGAAGTCACTCTGCTAAACTCTCTTGGCCATTAATGTCTATTATCAAGATTTGAACCTAGATCCATCTGAGTTGAAGTTCATGCTCTTATAAAAATGTCCAAATGTTACCTGATCATTTTTTGCCTTTGAGCTCTGGGAGCTTGGACACATAGTTAGATGTTTTGGGTTTCAAACTTTTACTAAGCCAGTTCTCCTACTAGTGACAAGGTAAGGGGCATTGTAGGTGCAGTGAGCACAGCACAGCAGAGGCCCTCTGTTAAGTAGTAACATACATAATTTGGACACACACTCAGCACTAGCAAGAACCCAGTGCACACTTACTGCCTGTATAGTGACAGTCTCCAGGAAAACTGGCAGAGGTGAGGAGAATGGGGAATGGGGAGATTGGGTTTAGAACGGGTATTTTGACCCCTAGTAAATAGAATTTTCACCAAAAACAAGGATCAGGGCACCTGGGTGGCTCAGTCAGTTAACTGTCTGCCTTCAGCTCAGGTCATGGTCCCAGGGTCTTGGGATCAAGTCCCACATTGGGCTCCTTGATCATCAGGGAGTCTGCTTCACCCTCTGTCCCCCACCCTCCTCTCATGCTCTTTCTCACTCTGTCTCTCGAAAAAATAAATAAATAAAATCTTTAAAACAAAAACAAGGATCATTTTTAAAAGGCTGACTTACAGAATGATTTTCAAGTCGAGATCCATGGAGATGTCTTAATACACAGGAGGCTGGAGGAAGGGACAAGTTGAAGAGGAGGGAGAATTGGAATGGTGGCACTTGGGGATCCAACTGGCTTGAAGCAGAGTAGGGCTTGTCGCTCTGTGTACAATAGAGATAATGTAGACAGTTTGTCCTTTAAATAGAGTACTTGGGGAGAAAAGAACTCTGAAGTTGGAGTTAAATTGGCTTGAAATATTTGGAAACTAATCATGGATTATATAAAGACAGATACACAATTGTTTATTTTACTTTAACTTCAGAATTTTGGAAAGATTTCATGGGCACCTGGGTGGCTCAGTTGGTTAAGCGACAGCCTTCAGCTCAGGTCATGATCCCAGGGTCCTGGGATCGAGTCCCACATAGGGCTCCCTGCTCTGCGGGGAGCCTGCTTCTCCCTCTCCCATTCCCCCTGCTTGTGTTCCCTCTCTTGCTGTGTCTCTCTCTGTCAAATAAATAAATAAAATCTTAAAAAAAAA